AAATGGTCTTGCGTTGGTCAAGAGGCTGAGAGCCATCCATCACGAAATCACTGTCACTCAGGTTCCACGGGCGAATCTGGACCTGAGAACGAAAGACTGCTCATCTCTAGAAGAAATTCAATGCAAGACGCTTGTTTTAAGACCTAGTAGGGACAAACTAGTTTTCTGTGAGAAGGTCAGGTGAATTTGTGCATCTCAAATCTACCCTGTAAATTGTATTAGCCTATTACACTAATTATTTATTTAAATATATTTTATGTAATTAATATACACAATTAACTAAAAATATATATAAAATGAATATACATAATTTAATTTTTTATTTAACTGTATATATATATATATATATATATATATATATATACAGTTAAATAAAAAATTAAATTATGTATATTCATTTTATATATATTTTTAGTTAATTGTGTATATTAATTACATAAAATATATTTAAATAAATAATTAGTGTAATAGGCTAATACAATTTACAGGGTAGATTTGAGATGCACAAAATCACTTTCTCACAGAAAACTAGTTTGGCCCTACTAGGTCTTAAAACATACCTGTTGCATTGAATTTCTGCTAGAGATGAACAGTTTCTCGTTCTCAGGTCCAGATTCGCCCGTGGAACCTGAGTGACAGTGATTTCGTGATGGATGGCTCTCAGCCTCTTGACCCACGCAAGACCATTTTTGTGGGAGGCGTTCCACGACCTCTACGAGCAGGTGAATTTCTCATACAGTATCTCAGACTTTTGTTGTCCTCCCAAATATGTCATTAATGTAATCATATTCTGTATAATGCCGTGATCCTCCTCTGTGTGTGTTTAGTGGAGCTGGCTATGATCATGGACAGACTGTATGGAGGTGTGTGTTACGCCGGCATTGACACTGATCCAGAACTCAAATACCCTAAAGGTGCGGGCCGAGTGGCCTTCTCCACTCAGCAGAGCTACATCGCTGCCATCAGTGCCCGATTCGTCCAGCTGCAGCATAATGACATTGACAAACGGGTGAGTGAGCTCATGTAAGGACGAACTCTCAGATGTCTGTCATTACACACAATGCAGAGACAGCGTCTTTTCGCTTTTCATGAATCCATCAGGGATGGATTCGTTTAATAATCCTTCAGGGTTATTAAACTAAAACCATTAAAAAATACAAAATAAAACATTTGCGTTACTTGAAATAAAGTAAAAAAAAAAATTTGTATTATTCTTTATTGTTAACTGATTTTTTTTAGCTAATTGCCAAAGCAACATTTCTAATTTTCATTTCGTTTAGGTTCATGTACTAAAATAACTAAAACTGAAATAAAAATGAATAAAAACTATATAGATATTTAAAAAAAACAATAATACAAATTAAAAACACAATAAAATTACTAAAACTTCAACTAAAATTACAATGAAAACAAATTCAAAATATTGATTAAACACTATAATAGTATCTCAATAATATTAAAAGAACACTGCTCCTAATGCACTGAACTTTATAAAATGAATCATTAAGCTACAGCGATACCATCGGCGACACTTTATAATGTGACATTTTACTTGAAACTACTTGAACTTGCCATTTGACCTTTCGAAACGCAGCCAGAGTTTACCAGACAGTTTGCATGAGATGCACTGAAGAACAGTTGTGTCAGACTCTTTACAAACTGGAAGTCTGCTTAATCACGGGCCATTTTAAAAATTTGCAGAATGCTATAAATGCTGTATTGACTAGACGAGTCCCAGAAGAGGTTTATACTGTACTTTTATAACAGTAATTCTAGATGTGATTGCATAGTGGCAGTTACTGTACCGTGGTTTTCCTGCAGGCTGTTTCCATACGGCCAACAATACAGCCTGTGGAAACCCCAGAGCAGACTGTGTGTAATCAACATGACCATGAGCTTCTGGAGGCCTGACAACCATTTGAAGTCTCAGACGTGGCGTTTGTTAATTATAGCTCGATGCTATTCCTGTGCACATATGTACACACTGGACTTACTGGACTGTTTTGGGAATGTTATTTAGAAGTAAATAGCTGATGGTCACTGGACTAAAACTAGATGCTCTGTGTGTGTGTGTGTGTGTGTGTGTGTGTGTGTGTATATATATATATATATATATACAGTTGTGGTCAAAATTTCACACCGAGGACAACTGAGGGACTCATAAATATGACATTAAGGGTGTATTCACATCTTGTTTTGTCTTGTTTTGTTCGATTGAATTGAACTCAAGTTCGTTTCTGCTCTTGGTGCAGACCTTTTTGGCAGGTGTGAATACAGCAACTGCACTCGGGTGCGGACCAAACAACCAAGACCCAGCTGAAGAGGTGGTCTCGGTCCGCTTCCAAACGAACTCTGGTACGGTTCGTTTAAGGTGTGAATATGACCCGAACTCGATCCGACCCAATTGCAGAAATCACACTCAGAAACAGACAGCTCGTGCATATAGTGCTGTTATTTGCGTTTCAATGGCTTAAATCACTTGTTTTTAAACCACAATGCTTAAAAACACACGCAAATTATGAGTTTGCACAGCAACGTGACGTGAGCGCGCTATAGGCTAAAGCTTGCCGCAAAAATGACCATGACTATGTTGGGGGAAAATAGTAAAGAGATATTTGAATTATTTACTAATAAACTTGTGTTTTATGAGTCAGTGTCGCAATGAAGTTGATGATCCTGACTCGCCATCTCATCATTGGACACGCCTTTAGAAAGAAATGCATCTTTATGGATTACATAATAATAAGAGTTTTTGTTTTGGATTTGAATTATTTCGTTTTGTAGTCATTTAAAGCTTTCTATAGATATATTCATCATGTCTGTAAGGAAAATATTTGCTGAGTTTCGGAGCATTTTTGTGAAGCGCTCCTGTTCAAGACCGAGACAGCAAGCGCATTCTGTTTGTTTTATTTATTTTACAAAAGCACAACGTTTTCTTGATATGGTGAGTGCACACAAATAAAAATAGACCCTTCACAGTTCCGAACGATGTATTATTCTTACCTTTATGAGCAAAAATGACGGCATATTTAATTTGTTTCCACTGATGTCCTGACACAATTGGATATGCACCTAGTAGCGCACATTTATCTAGGTTAAATGTTTAAACTAACATTGTGATATGCTTTAAGTATTTTATATCTATAGATTTTATTTTTGGCAAGTCGTAATTACAACATCGTATAGGTATGATGATGGCAATGGACGGCAATAAGCGGGAAGTTATAGTTCTCAAGGAATTTGTTTGTTCCTTCTAGATCCTGAATATTTTCAGCTGAAACATGATTTAAACAACACTTATTCATACGAAATCGCTCTCTCAATAATGCATTCAAACAAATGTGATCTTACAGTGCTACTTCATCTGTATCTGATTTCGAATTAGCAGAAATCTGTAAGAAATGCATCGATCCGTAGGTAAAATAACTGACGAAAACTTACTATTTTCATCACAAACAAAATTTGCAATTATACCTTTTAATGCTGACAACCATGTTATTAGCTTGTCATGTGGTAGGAAAAAAGTTTGCACACTAGTGTTCCAATAAGCCACTTTGAAACTCTCCTGTTATTTTATTTATTTTATTTTTTAATATACCTTATGAACAGAACAGTGATATTTCAAACAAATTGAAATACTTTAGATGCGGAGCGAAGGCGGAGCACAGTCTGTCACAGGCAATTGTAGTTGCATTTTTCATCAATTAATTTCTTAAAGGGGTCTTATGATGTTGCTAAAAAGAACATTATTTTGTGTATTTGGTGTAATGAAATGTGTTTATGCGGTTTAAGGTTCAAAAAACACATTATTTTCCACATACTGTACATTATTGTTTCTCCTCTATGCCCCGTCTTTCTGAAACGTGTCGATTTTTACAAAGCTCATCGGTCTGAAAAGCGAGGTGTGCGGTGATTGGCCAGCTATCCAGTGCGTTATGATTGGCCGAATACCTCAAGCGTGTGACGGAAATGTTACATATTGTGATGATCGCCCCTTTTTTCTGTGCCAACGTCACCTGTCTGCAGTATTACTGTGAGTACTGCTGGGCGAGTATCCACTCACGCGCCGGCCGCGAGTTCCACAAACCGCTGGTGAAGGAAGGCGGAGATCGACCTCGGCACGTGTCCTTCCACTGGAGCTGATGAACCGGCACATCACCCTCTCCACCCATGGATCTCCCCTCTCATCTTGTTTTTAGAAAACAAATATCATGATATCTCTGTCAACTATATTCTCTGCTTACAAACACTTAGGAAAATATGAATTTTGAGTCTGCACTACGTTGCACGCCGACGAGTCACAATACTGTGTCCGACCGGTGACTCTGGGAGAATAAGCGAACACTGGCTCGAAATCACTAACCTAACTTTAAGACGGCGGGCGGAATTACCTCGCGTAGCCGCAGCATTTATATCCAGATTATCCAGAAAAGCTTGAAGTAGAATCATGACATGTCGACGGGGGACATTTTGAAACTAAGTTGAGAGATGGTGGAGAGGAACACGAAGAAACACGTCTTATCCGCGAGTCAAAAACGCTCAACTTTAGGTTGGCACGTTTAGTTCATTAGTCTGGAAGAACAACAAATGCGAACACTACTTTTGTACCGATGGAGAGAAAGAGGATTGTGGGTAACCCTGATCCCGACGATGGTGAATTCTGGGTGTGTTTGTGATGTTTTTCCCTGCCCAGATTTTTCTGTTTGTTCCTTCTGTGTAGTAAGATAATATTTATGCACTACTCTTTGTATCTGGGTGGTTGAACAGTCAGCGGTTTTTTTTTCTTTTTCTTTTTTTAATAGAAAAATAATTGTGCTTTCTGACTGACGTAGTAATCTTTTGCAATACCTGAATTTCGAAATATGAGAGAGATTGATATTTTCTAAGTTTATTCAAATAAAGACTATATATCTATATTAATTTAATTCTGCTAGAGAGAAAAAAAAAATGATTTGACAGATGCTTCATTTTATTTTTGTCGTGCTCATTTGCTTTTAATTTTATTTTTGGAAAAAAAAAATTAAAAACAAAAACAACTGGAGCAGTTGTAGCTGTATTATTTTATTACTATAGGAAGCTGAAGTACAGTGTACAGTGTTCCACAAACAAACAATTACTATTATAATATATATATATTATATAAATATATATATTCTATAGGGTCAACAGGCCATTGGCTGCTTATAAAGTCAACTGAACATGCTACTTAGGTTTTTATATATTTACAATCAGACCTTTACTATGCTGACCAGAGTTGTGAAATCGTCTGTTTGTTATATTTTTGTTTTCGTGAAATGATGTGTAGTGTTCCCCTTTGTTTTGTAAAGCGCACACGCCCCGATTTGTTAACCCTATATCATTTAAAAATCTTTATGATTTTTGGCAAGATGGAAGCTGAAAACAATATTAAACGTTTTAACTTTAACTTGAAGGAAAGCCCCAGATGCGGTGTGGTGTGATGTGGTCTTCTACTCACCCAAGACTTGAATTAGTCCTTTTTTTTAAAGGCTGAGAACCTCGATTCTTTGTTGTAATGTGCAATACTGTTTGTACTGTTTGTAAAAAAGAAGAAAAAAAAAAGAACAGAAAAAGGCATAAATCTTTATTGCAGATTTCTTTTAATTGCGAGCATTGTGATTCACTAAAATCATTTTCTACTGTGTATTTACTCGACGTGCTAGTATCTTCCAGTAGTAATGTAGCCTTTGTACTGAGAAATTTTTTCATTATTTTTTAGAGATTTTTTGCAAAAGAAAAAGAGACGAGAATTTAAACATATTTACATATTTTCCATTATTTTTTATTTGTGTTTTCTTTACACACTTATTCCTCATCCATTAATGTTAGCTATTTCTGGGCGAGATTTTCATATCTGGTCAATGTCATTAATATTATTTTGTATTTTTATGTGGAATAAATAAAAAAATTATAATTTTTTTTTTTTTTAAGGTAAAAACTGTAATATTGTTACTAAAATGTCTAGATTTTTGAAATGCAAAGCTTGTTGCTTACATTAGTGTGATTGGG